CCACTGGTGTAGATGCATCCTCAGACTATTGGCAGAGAAACAAAACTTCTAAAGAAGAGATAGTTTGATTGATTTATTGTCGAAGGCTTTCATGGCCAGAATCACTGGGTTGTTGTAGGTTTTTTCGGGCTATATGGCCATGTTCTAGAGAGGCATTCTCAGAGGTAGTGAGGGATGCTTGCCATAGATGCAGGCGAAACATCAGGAGAGAATGCCTCTAGAACATGGCCATATAGCCCGAAAAAACCTACAACAATCCAGTTTGATTGATTGGTCGATCAATTATTGATTGATTGCTGGATATTTATTATATTCAATTCAATAACAATAGGAGAAGATTGAGTGGGGTGGGAGAGTTAGGAAAGAACAAAGCCAGAGAGAAGAGAAGGAGGAATGGATTGATCCATTGATCGGTCAATTGATCATTGCTGACTTATCGCATTCAGACATTTTTTACCCGTTCCCCTGTTTGTCCATTTTCAGTTCTTTGGACACTTTTTTCCTAAACTAGTGAAGACCCAAACATCAACAACTGGGATGGAGAAAGAGTGGATCCTTCTTTGTTTAGGTCTAAGCTTTCTTCTTCTCCTCCCTTTCCCTCCCAAACCCAGCCACTGTGGCGCAAAGAGAAGCATCGGATCCCACTGACGCTCTCCTTGTGCCACAAGAGCACATCCCTTCCTGCTGTGTCAGTCCTTGATCCATCTGGCGCCTGCAAGGAGCGGAGGAGAAGGAGGAGAGGAGAGGATGCTCCAGGTGTGAAACCCAGCCTCCTGCATCCTCATCCCGTAACTACGGTTACCTTTGCCAGCTTTGGTCCAGCCCCTCTCCTTCAGCATCCGCTGTCAGGCTTCTTTGTATGCAGCTGCGTGCTGGATTTGTGCCTGCGTGCCAGTTGCATTGTAGCCGTGAAACAGACCAATAAACGAGAGAGAAAGACTTCATTCTGCTCTTTCTATGCTTTGTATCATCATCACCACCATCTTCATCTCATCATCCTCTTCATTTTATATTCCTCCTCTCTTCTGCTCTTTCTATGCTTTGTATCATCGTCGCCGTCGCCGTCATCTCATCATCCTCTTCACATTATATTCTTCCTCTCTTCTTCTCTTTCTATGCTTTGTACTATTATTATCATTATCATCATCATCATTATCATCATCCTCTTCACAGTATATTCCTCCTCTCTTCTGCTCTTTCTATGTTTTGTATCATCATCATCATAATCGTCATTGTCATCTCATCATCCTCTTCACATTATATTCTTCCTCTCTTCTGCTATTTCTATGCTTTGTATCATCATAATTATCATCATCCTCTTCACATTATATTCCTCCTCTCTTCTTCTCTTTCTATGCTTTGTACTATTATCATTCCCAACATCATTATAATCACCCTCTTCACATTATATTCCTTCTCTCTTCTTCTCTTTCTATGTTTTGTATCATCACCATGATCACCACCATCTTCATCTCATCATTCTCTTCACATTATATTCCTCCTCTCTTCTGCTCTTTTTATGCTTTGTACTATCATCATCATCATCATCATCATCATCATCATCATCCTCTTCACATTATATTCCTCCTCTCTTCTTCTCTTTTTATGCTTTGTACTATCATCATCATCATCATCATCATCATAATCATTATCATCATCCTCTTCACATTATATTCCTCCTCTCTTCTTCTCTTTCTATGTTTTGTATCATCATTATGATCATCCTCTTCACTTTTATTCCGCCGTCGCCGTCATCTCATCATCCTCTTCACATTATATTCTTCCTCTCTTCTGCTCTTTCTATATTTTGTATCATCATCATCATAATCGTCATTGTCATCTCATCATCCTTTTCACATTATATTCTTCCTCTCTTCTGCTCTTTCTATGCTTTGTATCATCATCGTTGTTGTCATCTCATCATCCTGTTCACATTATATTCTTCCTCTCTTCTACTATTTCTATGCTTTGTATCATCATCATCACCACCATCACCACCTTCTTCATCTCATCATCCTCTTCACATTATATTCCTCCTCTCTTCTGTTCTTTCTATGCTTTGTATCAACATCATAATCGTCGTTGTCATCTCATCATCCTCTTCACATTATATTCTTCCTCTTTGTATCATCATTATCATCATCCTCTTCACATTATATTCCTCCTCTCTTCTTCTCTTTCTATGCTTTGTACTATTATCATTATCATCATCATTACCATCATCCTCTTCACATTATATTCCTTCTCCCTTCTTCTCTTTCAGTGTTTTGTATCATCATTATCATCATCCTCTTCACATTATATCCCTCCTCTCTTCTTCTCTTTCTATGCTTTGTACTATCATCATCATCATCATTATGATCATCCCCTTCACATTATATTTCTTCTCTCTTCTTCTCTTTCGATGTTTTGTATCATCATTATGATCATCCTCTTCACTTTTATTCCTCCTCTCTTTTGCTCTTTCTGTTTTGTATTATCGTTGTCGTCGTCGTCTCATCATACTCTTCAAATTATATTCCTCCTCTCTTTGCTTTCTATGCTTTGTACTATTATCATTATCATCTTCATCCTCCTCACGTTGTTATTCCTTCTCTCTTCTTCTCTTTCTATGTTTTGTATCATCATTATCATCATCCTCTTCACATTATATTCCTTCTCTCTTTTTCTCTTTCTATGCTTTGTACTATTATTATTATTATTATTATCATCATCATTATCATCATCATCAACGTCCTCCTCTTCACATTATATTCCTTCTCTCTTTTTCTCTTCTATGCTTTGTATTGTCATCCTCCTCTTCACATTATCTTCCTCCTCTCTTCCGCTCTTTCTGTTCTTTGTATCATTGTCGTCGGTTCATCATCTTCTTCACATTATCTTCCTCCTCTCTTCTGCTCTTTCTGTTCTTTGTATCATTGTCGTCGTCTCATCATCCTCTTCACTTTGTACTATTATTATTATTATCATTATCATCATCATCATCATCAACATCATCCTCTTCACATTATATTCCTCCTCTCTTCTGCTCTTTCTGTGCTTTGTATTATCATCATCATCATCATCCTCTTTACATTATATTCCTCCTCTCTTCTTCTCTTTCTATGCTTTGTATCATCATCCTCGTAGTCTCATCATCCTCTTCAAATTATATTTCTCCTCTCTTCCGCTCTTTCTGTTCTTTGTATCATCATTGTCGTCGTCTCATCATCCTCTTCACATTATATTCCTCTTCTCTTTTTCTCTTTCTATGCTTTGTATCGTCATCCACGTAGTCTCATCATCTTCTTCACATTATATTCTTCCTCTTTTCCGCTCTTTCTGTTCTTTGTATCATCGTCGTCGTCGTCATCTCATCATCCTCTTCACATTATATTACTCCTCTCTTCTGCTCTTTCTGTTCTTTGTGTCATCGTCATCGTCGTCGTCGTCTCATCATCCTCTTCACATTATCTTCCTCCTCTCTTCCGCTCTTTCTGTTCTTTGTATCACCATCATCGTCGTCGTCGTCGTCTCATCATCATCTTCACATTAAATTCCTCCTTTCTTCTTCTCTTTCTATGCTTTGTATCATCATCCTTGTAGTGTCATCATTCTCTTCACATTATATTCCTCCTCTTTTCTGCTCTTTGTGTTCTTTGTATCATTGTCGTTGTCATCTTATCATCCTCTTCACATTATATTTCTCCTCTCTTCTTCTCTTTCTATGCTTTGTATCATCATCATCATCGTTGTCGTCGTCACAGTGTCCTCTTCACTTTATATTCCTCCTCTCTTCTGCCCTTTCTATGATTTGTATCATCACCATCATCCTCTTTACATTATATTCCTCCTCTCTTCTCTTTCTATGCTTTGTATTATTATTATTATTATTATTATTATTATTATTATTATTATTATTATCCTCATATTATTTTCCTCTACTTTTCTGCTTTTTCTACGCTTATTATTATCATCCTCTTCTTTGTATGATACTCCACCTCTCTTCCGCTCTTTCAATGCTTTGTTGTTGTTATCACAACTATTATTGTTATTCATCACCCCCTTCTTCCTGTTACATTCCTCTTCTTTAAGCAATGCTTCTGTTAATGTGGGTTAGTATGTTTTATAGTGTGTCGTGGCAGCTAGTTAGATAGCTGCTTAGTTTTATATATATATATATATATATATATATATATATATATTTCTAAATGACCTTTTTTGTGTTATTTCCGGGGGTCTTGGACTAACTTCTTATTATTTCCAAACAATAATTCGTTTTTTAAGGGAAAAAAATCCAACGATTGTGGTGATTTCTCCCTTCCTCCTTGGCTTTTATTCTAAAATATATTAAAATATTATTTATTGAAGTCTGCAGCTTTTCTCGGCTACGATGGCGTGGGCTTTTCCCCCTCTGATTGCTATTCCTGGCACAAACACCATCATCAGCACACGGCTGCCACCCACTCAACGACATACACACACACAAAAAGAGCGAGGGAACGAGAGAGAAAGAGGAGAGGAGGGATGCTGGCAGTCGTGGTGGCGTTTCCCCCCCCTCCGTTGCCACCACCGGTCCCTCCATCTCTTTGGACATCTTGATGTCTTTATAGCGTCGCCGGAGAGGAAAGGGGGGGGGAAGGACCCCGAAACCCCTCCCTCCTCCGTATCCTTCGTCTCCCATTTCCAGCCTGTGGCCAACCAAAAAGCCTTTGCCACACATTTGCACACTCACTCGCGCGCACACACACATATCTTACCGCTGGCATTAAATTTTCAGACTGGATGCTGCTGCCGCTGCTGCGGGAGGACTATTCCTAATTGCCTCCTATCCCCAAGTGGTCCATGAATAATGGCTACTGAAGGCGCTCCAAAGGCAGGCTGAGAAAGAGAGGAAAGGAAGGAAGGAAGGAAGGAAGAGCGCGGAAGGAAGGACTGTGCTGTATGCCTATTTATATATATTTTCTATTATTTCCCCCTCCCCACCCCACACAATCCCACCCCACCCTCCTTTCCCAAAGGATCTAAATCGGTGACCCATCCGCCTTGGAAAGAAGGAAGGAGAGGAAACCGGAGCCAGGAGAGAGAAAGGCAGAGCGATAGCGAGAGACGGACAAGGACCATTGCACAGGTATGATGGAAACGTTTTTCTCTTTCGAATGCTCCTTTTGGGTGCTTCTTTTTTGGGTGCTTCTTTGGGTTGTTCCTTTTGGATACGTCTATTGGTTGCCCTTTTCGGATGCTCCTTTCGGATGCTTTTGACATCTCTTCCGTTGCAGAACGGTCCTGTTCATGGTCACCTTTTCCAACCCTTTCCTTGGCTTCCTCTCCTTGCGTATGACTTTTGTGCTACTCTGATCCCAACAGGAGGCAAGCAAGGGTCAGTTGCCTTCAGCCTTTGGGTGGCGTCATTGGCAGTAGTGAATTCCTACTTGTTTGTATCTTGGAGATATTGCTGGATTTCTTGGGCATGCCTTTCTTTTTTCATGTCAGGAGCGACTTGAGAAACTGCAAGTCGCTTCTGGTGTGAGATAATTGGCCATCTGCAAGGATGTTGTCCAGGGGACGCCTTGATGTTTTTGATATTTTTCCATCCTTGTGGGAGACTTCTTGCAAGTGGCTTCTGGTGTGAGAGAATTGGCAGTCTGCAAGGACGTTGCCGAGGGGATGCCTTGATTTTTTGATATTTTACCATCCTTGTGGGAGACTTCTTGCAAGTGGCTTCTGGTGTGAGAGAATTGGCAGTCTGCAAGGATGTTGTCCCAAGGGACGCCTTGATGTTTTTGATATTTTACCATCCTTGTGGGAGACTTCTTGCAAGTGGCTTCTGGTGTGAGAGAATTGGCAGTCTGCAAGGATGTTGCCCAAGGGACGCCTTGATGTTTTTGATATTTTACCATCCTTGTGGGAGACTTCTTGCAAGTGGCTTCCGGTGTGAGAGAATTGGCAGTCTGCAAGGATGTTGCCTAGGGGACGCCCAGATGTTTTAGATATTTTACCATCCTTGTGGGAGACTTCTTGCAAGTCGCTTCTGGTGTGAGAGAATTAGCAGACTGCAAGGACGTTGTCCAGGGGATGCCTTGATGTTTTTGATATTTTTCCATCCTTGTGGGAGACTTCTTGCAAGTCGCTTCTGGTGTGAGAGAATTAGCAGACTGCAAGGACGTTGCCCAGGGGATGCCTTGATTTTTTGATATTTTACCATCCTTGTGGGAGACTTCTTGCAAGTCGCTTCTGGTGTGAGAGAATTGGCAGTCTGCAAGGATGTTGCCCAGGGGACGCCTGGATGTTTTTGATATTTTACCATCCTTGTGGGAGACTTCTTGCAAGTGGCTTCTGGTGTGAGAGAATTGGCAGTCTGCAAGTACGTTGCCCAGGGGACACCCGGATGTTTTTGATATTTTACCATCCTTGTGGGAGACTTCTTGCAAGTGGCTTCTGGTGTGAGAGAATTGGCCGTCTGCAATGACGTTGCCCTGGAGATGCCTTGATGTTTTTGATATTTTTCCATCCTTGTGGGAGACTTCTTGCAAGTCACTTCTGGTGTGAGAGAATTGGCGGTCTGTAAGGACGTTGCCCAGGGGATGCCTTGATGTTTTTGATATTTTACAATCCTTGTGGGCAACTTCTTGCAAGTCAGCTCTGGTGTGAGAGAATTGGCCGTCTGCAAGGATGTTGCCCTGGGGACACCCTTATGTTTTTGATGTTTTACCATCCTTGTGGGAGGCTTCTCTCATGTCCCCGCATGGGGAGCTGGAGCTGACAGAGGGAGCTCATCTGTGCTCTCCTCACATTTGAATCTCCGACCTATCTGTCCCGATGGCACAAGGGTTTAACCCACTGCACTACCGAGGGCTTGTTTCTTCCCAGATATGGTTGGGTCCCCTTCCTGGTTGCATGTCCTCAAAGTTTGTCTCCTTCCATGCTATGAAATCATTCAAGTCATTGTTTTGCAAGGTCTTTCGCCCAAGAATCGTGATGCCTCCCCCGAACCGGATCTCATAGTATTGATCCACAGCAGTGTCAAACTGTGCCATTTCTACAGTATAGATGTACCCCATGTTGGGCTTAGAAGAAATCTTAAATGCATCTGCAATATAGCATGGATGCAGTTTGGCACACTTGAACTGCCGTAGCTCAATGTGATGGGATTTGGAGTTTGGTCTTCGGCGGGTAGTTGCAAAATGTCGGGGTTGTTGCAGACAGAGAGTGATGTGTATTTTGAAAGATGCCCGAATGAGACAAATAAAAAAGTTGGAGGGGGAGAATGCCCCCATCTTGTTTCTCCCTCCACAAATGCATCTCCCTTCTGTTGGTCTTTTGAGGCCAAGAGGGATGTTCCTTTGCAAGTGTTGTCGTTGTGCATTGCAAAGTCTAGGGCACTTTGCATCGCCGTGGAGCGCCCTCTACTTTGCCCTGGGGTTGAGCATCCTGTATTTTGCATTGTATCCATGCACCTGGTGTTTTACATGGCTGTTGTGCGGTGTTGCTGTTCTGCGATGACGGCGCACCTGGGAACCCACCGGAGATAACGCAGCCTTGGCTTTTTCCTATGACCAATGGAGTCTCCTCCCATTTCGTCAATCTGCCAATAAGCAAGCCGCCCCTTTAGACCCTCCAATGGGAGCAGCGCAAGGGAAAGACCACCCTAGGGACCTTTCTTGGCTTGGTTGCAACAGAGAGGAAAGGAGGGGAATCTCTGCTCCTCTCACAAAGTATTAGAGACATATTTATAATTTACTTCCTTTCTACCACGCCTTTCTCCACCCCGAAGGGGACTCCAACATAGAGTGAGAGCTGTTCAGCAGTGGAACTCTCTGCCCAGGAGTGTGGTTGAGGCTCCTTTGTTGGAGGCTTTTAAACAGAGGCTGGATGGTCATCTGTCGGGGGTGCTTTGAATGCAATTTTCCTGCTTCTTGGCAGAATGGGGTTGGACTGGATGGCCCATGAGGTCTCTTCCAACAGTGGAACTCTCTGCCCAGGAGTGTGGTTGAGGCTTCTTCTTTAGAGGCTTTTAAACAGAGGCTGGATGGCCATCTGTCGGGGGTGCTTTGAATGCAATTTTCCTGCTTCTTGGCAGAAAGGGGTTGAACTGGATGGTCCATGAGGTCTATGATTCTATGAGACCCCAAAGGCTATCTGGTCCAAACCCATTCTGCCATGAAGGAGAAGGCAATCTGATCCCTCCTGAGAGATGGCCATCCAGCTTAAAAACCTCCAGAGAAAGAGACTCCAGTGGCATCTTGGGGAGCATATTCCATACTTGAAATAATCTTTCAGAGAGTTCTTCCTAATGTTGAGGTGGAATCTCTTCTCCTGCAATATGGATCCATGGATCCATTGTGGCCCAGTCTCTGGAGCAACAGAAAATAAGCTTACTCCTTTCTCAATGGGCCCACTGGTGGCACAGCAGGTTAAACCGCTGAGCTGCTGAACTTGCTGTCCGAAAAGTTGGCAGTTCGAATCCAGGGAGCGGGTTGAGCTCCCGCTGTTAGCCCCAGCTTCTGCCAACCTAGCAGCTCAAAAACAAGCAAATGTGAGTAGATCAATACCTTCTGTGGGAAGGTAATGGCAACCCATGCTGTCTTACTAGCCACATGACCTGGAGGTGTCTACAGATAATGCCGGCTCTTCGGTTTAGAAATGGAGATGTGCACCACCCACCAGAGTCAGACCCGACTAGATTTAATGTCAAGGGGAAACATTTACTTTCTCAATGGGGCATCCTTTCAAATCATAGAATCCTAGAGTTGAAAGAGACCTCATGGGGCCATCCAGTCCAACCCCATTCTGCCAAGAAGCAGGAAAATCACATTCAAAGCACCCCCGACAGATGGCCATCTAAACTCTGCTTTAAAACCTTCAAAGAAGAGGCCTCCACCACACTCTGGGCCAGAGAGTTCCACTGCTGAACAGCTCTCACAGTTAGGAAGTTCTTCCAAGTGTCCAGGTGGAATCTCCTTTCCTGTAGTTTGAAGCCATTGTTCCATTGCATGCTAGTCTCCAAGGCAGCAGAAAACAAGCTTGCTCCCTCCTCCCTATGACTTCCCCTCACTTCTTGATACATGGTCCTTATCATGTCTCTCAGCCTTCTGTTCTTCAGGCTAAACATGCCCAGCTCTTTAAGCCACTCCTCATAGGGCTTATTCTCTAGACCCTTGATCCCTTGAGTCACCTTCCTCTGGACACATTCCAGCTTAGAGTCAACAACTCCCTTCAGTTGTGGTGCCCGGAATTGGACACGGTGTGATTCCAAGTGTGGTCTGACCAAGGCAGAATAGAAGGGTAGCATGACTTCCCTGGATCTAGGCACTAGACCCCTAATGATGCAGGTTAAAATCCCAAAATCCCGAATATTGGCTCTCATGTTCCCTCTGAGACTTCTTTCATCCAAGATAAACATACCTAGCTCCCTAAGTCACTCCTCATAGACTTTCAGACCTTTGACCATTTTGGTGGCCCTTCTCTGGACAACTTCCAACTTCTCCATCTCCTCCTCCTCGAATGGCTTTGCCCAGAGCTGGAGAGAGAGTGGGACTATGACTTCTCTCCAACCCAATTCTATACTTCTGTTGATGCAGCTTAGATCCGCACTGACTTTTTCAACTGCGGCATCACAGGATGTGAGCAAAAAGCGAGCTTTCTGGGGACCCCCATGGATTCCTGCCCAAAGGAGCTTTTTGTGAGCAGGAGAGTGGAGTGCGTCTTTACCAACGGTGAAGTGAATGAGTGTAAGAGGAGATCCATTGGTCACAGGATAAAAGACAAGTTATGGTTCTACCTGGAAAAGATCTTTGGAAACGGATTGTGGGTTACGGCATCTTTTCAGCATAATTTAGCTGTGTCTTTCTGAATGGCAAAATGGCGTTGGGCTGGATGGGCTTTGGAGTGCTTTCCAACTCTGCTGGTTTATTGGTTGCTTTTGAGGATGTTGGACTCTCCGTCTTTGGAGGCCTTTCAACAGAGGTTGAATATCCATTGTTACAGAATATAGCACCGCAAGAGGAGGAGGAGGGTGACTAAAATGATCAATAATAATAATCATCATCATCATCTTTATACCCCGCCACCATCTCCCCAAAGGGGACTCGGGGTGGCTTACATGAGGCCAAGCCTGGTAATACATCAAGG